GAAACGTAAGGGGCAAGATAGGAGTACAAATCAGAGCATATTTCTTCCACTGAAAATTATTCTGTTAACGATTAACTCTATTCTCATGGGTTATTACAAGTAACAGTGTCAAAACAGACCTCAAATCAAAGTCTTTTTTTTTTGAGTTTTCATTTGTGTTTTTTGCTCTATGTCCATGTATCATAACATTATCAACATTCAAATTAAAATTTGACTTTTTTTCACAGGTATTGCACATCTATCTGCAAAGATCAGATATTTAAATGATGAAATGTTAATTCTTCTCTCAGCAATACTTTAGTAATTTAATTTTCTACAGAGTTAGTCTGAGCCTTGAGTAAGGCACTGCTCAAACTAAACTGAGGCAGTTGACATTTTTTGAATGCCAAAACTGGGTAAAATTTTAGGGGTTGTGGGAAAACAACTGAGGATCAAGGCTTAACATTTTGTGGAGTTTTCTAAAGATAAACACTGTTTTTTCTCTCTATTTCCTCATTTACAAGTTTAAGTAGAGGTAGCAGGATCTGAATTAACTTGTTCACCTATATTTGCTACTGCTTTTGTTCTGCAGGTAAAATATAAATATTTATTATCTGGGTTGCATAGTATGTGGAGGTGTTCCTTGTCAACCTTAAACGTAGCATTGCAATAATGCAGGCAAAAAAAGGCTGAAACATTACCAAAAAAAATGACTGGCCTTATAATGCGTCAACATCAGATGGCTCAGTTTTTCATTTCAAGGAGCTAACATTACAGAAATCAGAGCAAAGCAGAATGAACCTCTAGCAAACAAATTCAAGACTTCACAAGATTTCTGTGAGTTACGTGAAACGACACGAGATATTAGACATTGGATATAAGAATCTGCTTGCAAATACTGATCCTGCTTTCTACACTGAAAGGCTTTCTGAAAAAAAGGGTAAGTTTAGTGTAAGCGTGCTGGGGCAGAAACCAACTTGGTCTCTAAGCTGAGTCAATTCTGAACTAGTTTATGACTGAAGCACCTGCCTAAGCCGTCTGTGACAGAAGGGGCATTTTTTGGCATTATGGAACCCACTAAAAAGCCTGATTAGTACTTGTTAACATTTTTAGTAGTCCACTGGAATTAAACAATCCCCTTCAAAATGTTCTGGAATTACTGGTTATTCCAATGAATTACTGCTGCTATCACTTCACATCTGTGTCAGGTCCCTGCCATTGGGGAAACTGGGGACTGGGACCCTGATCAAAGGCATTCCAACAGCTGCCACTGGACATTTCTTTTCTGCAGCTCTGTGGTTACATCTCCATACAACAAATACCTGCAGGCTTGCAAATGCTCACATATTTTGGAGGCTCCATGTTACCAAATCAGCTTTTTGTTTTCCAAAGAGAGATCTTCAATGGTGGTAACTTTTACCAATCTGTTTTTCTAGTGCTTCTTTTACAAGCAGCTGCGGCTGAAACATTCCTTCCACTCTCTTCTCCTCCCTCGCCCCCACTTCCTCAAGGAAATTCCATGGGATCACCATTCCTCTGGCCCCACACTGCAACAAAACTCTCAACTCCCAGGGGAGATGGAGCTTGTGCAATCACTGGATCTCTGCATCTGCGAGCACAAGGCAAACACAGAGTTCCTTCATGCATCTGTATCTGGATTGCTTGTTTTTTAAACAATGTGCTGAGGGGAACTGCTGACTGCTGTTAGGCTAAATGAAATACTGATTTTGAAAAACTTCAATCTTTGCCTAATCACAAAATGGAAAGAGAAAATTAAAACTATATTTGTTTTAAATTCAAGAAGTCTCAAGAGCCTATCTGCATCTGAAGGATAGGACTCTAGAAGACAACTTTTTAACTTTTCTTTCAATTACAATTTCCCCAAAAATACCTATGGGTCCCTAACGGCATTCTACAAGAAGGCATTATTATAAAAAAACTGCCCTGAACTTCTCAGAGAGGATTTCAGTGTGGATTTCATTTGATCATGAGGGTAAAACTGTCTGACTTTTATTTCTGATTAATTAAAGTACCAATACTGAGAGGAAGAGAGAGAGTCTTCCTTTGCACCCTGCCAGGTCAGACCCTTCATAACAAGACTGCCAAAAGGAGCTGCTAAACAATAAAGGAAATGACTATTTAAACCAAACACTATGTCTCCAGGCCAATCACAATTCCCATGGCATACCATGTAAATGCCTTGCCACTGACTGTGGAAGTCAAACCCTAAAGAAAAGGAGCATTTCATCCTCCATATCAGGCCTACATCTCTCCAGTTCGTCTGGCAAAAGGAACATACAAAAATGAATAAAATTTCTTTTCAGCTGTGGAAATACCTCTATTTGACAGCTACCTCTTAAAAGATCGTCAGCTAAGACAGAAGCTAGCAGAGCTGGTTTACATACCACAGTGGCATGTAACTCCTACTCTGACAGTTTGTCTATCTGAGAAACAGGGTACATCAGCTGGGCAGAACTAAATTCTGGTCCTGGGTGGGTGTGGGTGTTTCTCTGCACTGCTGCACTGTGTCCCATGTCACTGTGTGCCTGCACAGGCAACAGCACTGACACAATCAGTGAATACATCTAGGGAGCACACCTTCACCATTCTTGGTGGTATGTTTGCTCTGAAGAGCAAAACTGAGTGAAAACTCAGGTTAAGGAAAATCTACTGCAGATAATACAAACCCCAAACTATGCCACAGTCCTTCAACAGGAAATAAAGAAAAATATGATGCTGGTAACATACAGAACTGAACACTACAAATCACATGCTATTCAATTACTAAAGAATCTATCTCCTCCTACAGCCAAACAACATTCTGTAAACATGGTGTTATTTATTCAGATGCATGCAATACTACTATTTTAAAAAATGCATACATAACACTCTAAAAGAAGAAATTTGCAGAGGGCTTTTTTCTACCCTAAAAAAGTAAGAACGATAGATAGGCTCTTGCTCCAAAATAATCAGTATTAATACTGTTCTCAAAGAGAACAGTTTCCGAGACACTGATGCATCACATTTAATTATATGACATGAAATCATATTCCACATAATAATGAATGCAATATTTCACTGCAGCTGACAAATCATGAAATAAAAATGCAAGAAAATGGAGAATAAAGGAGAAACGAAAGAAGAGAAAAACCACTTTAAAACAAATTGGAGCTCTGAAACTTTCAATTCAACTTTTCCCTAACAACACCATCTATCCATAGGGGTTGTATTCATGTGCTACAGACATTTCCACAAGGCAGAACTAAGCAGCAGTGACCTGCCCAGACCAATCTCCCAAAGAGTTAAATGCAAGAGATGGTCAGAGCACTTCCTGAAGTCCAGACATGTCTTTTTTTCTAATGAGATACGCAGAGTAAAATTAGCAAGTTTCTTGCTCTTAAGTGACAGCAGCACTGCTAACTCCCTGCTACAGTAAATGTTTGAGCTGCAGTTCACCACTTTTCAGACCTGAGTGCTTTTGAAGGAGATGGGAAATGGCAACATGGGGAGAGGTCACAATTACACAGCAAGCAAAGAACATGGAAACATTAATATGCTAATGAACGTCACTTGACTTAATGAAAATATGTGTTTTATTAAGAGCAGGGAATTGAAACAATTTTTAGGTTATTGTGCCTCAAAACAGGGAAACAGAGTATGTAACTTCAAAAAACAAAAGTTATTCTGCTGTGGAAACAAAGCTGTATAGCACGTCTGGCTCAAGTGTTTCAAGAAAACCATTAGCCTGGCAGTTGTTTTAGCTATGCCTGTGTTCATAATGCTGAATATTTAGAAAAGAACCCTTAAAATACTCTCTAAACAGGACATAATTTCACAATGCAAAGGCAGCCACTGCAAGCTTCCGATCATCCTGGCACAGAACAATTGTCTGTCATGGTAATTCTATATTTTTTTACCTTACAAGCAGCTGCTTTTCTGGTTGTAATCCCACTAAAAATGCACATTATAATCATCATGGCTAGGCTTCGTGAGTGAAGATTTGGGAAGGCTCTATCCACATTTGTTACAGGCACGCTGGTGGCTTATGAGGCCAATACGAGATAGCGCTGGTGGCTTATGAGGCCAATAATAATACAGTGATAATTTAAGGGAGAAGACCAACTAAGTGAAACTGTCCAGAGCAAAAAGCAATTTAAAAAATATCATATAGATTACAAACAGCTTGATACAAGCAGCACAGTATGAGCAAACAGCCAGGAAGGGAGAATATGAAAGGGTGGGCTGGTGTGGCAATTGATGCTGAACTGAATAAAGGAGACCTGGGTTAAGGCTCAAAGCTTGAAATCTCACCCTGGGACTGGGGACTGTCAGGAGGATGAAGGGTCTGCTGCATCATCCTCATTTAATGATGTAAATGTCACAAAAGGAGGTCTCTGAAGAAATTCAGCATTACAGAGATGCCATGCTGCACGCTAGCAAGTAAATCACAGGGCTTTGGAACCATGTGGCTTCAGCATAAAGGTCATCCTCAGCAAAGCACAGTGCTTAGTGAGGGTCTGGAAAGCACCTAGAAAACATGCCAAAGCAAGTTACAAACTCCTGACTGAATCTGCTAAGACTCAATCGTGTTAAGTCCCTAATCAGATAAGCAGGCTCAACAATTTCAGTGAATAACTGGAATGGATTTATTCTTGTATCTTCAGATGCAGATATTAAATGAGTTAAAAGAAATTACTATTCAAGAATCATAAAATAAGAAAGTACAATTAAAGTCTAAATAATATATTCATAAACCCAACACAACAGCTGAAGGAAGCATATAAGGTATTGACAGCCACACTAGGAGAAGTGAGAACAATTACGCATGGCTGAGACTACCCCTGCTTCAACAATCCTGTCAAACCAGCTCTTCATGACAGAGGCTTGGTCAGTGCAGCAGATTTCATGCAATGGCACTATATAGTTGTGAAAAGAAACCACACAGCAGTCAGGCAGCTTCCTACAGGCTTCCCCAAACCATGCTCATTGGCTCCTTTCCTTTGCTCTTGTCCCTCTATTTAGCTGATCGCTTTTGCCTGGCCTCCCACAGAAAAGACATTGTCTGTGGGCCATTACATCAATTGCTTTGCCTACTCCTACATACCTGATGGAAAGCTCTTTTGGCCAGGACTGACTCACCTTGTGTCCCCCCAACACTCCTCTGGTTCTGGGTTGACTGTTACGACATCCTTATGACAAACATAATACCTACTTTACTATTCCCCACACTTCTGCCTCTGGCACAACTGATATGAAGAAATTTGTTTTCCCAACACAGAACTGGAGTAGCAGGCTTAGGTTTGAGTGGACTGTTCAGAAACATGGCAGCTTCATTTCCCACACAAAACCCAATAATATTGTCTGAAAAATAGTTATGCTTCAAAGTAAGCCCTCACAACAAAAACATAATCTGCTCTTTTCATCTTGGAAAAGAGGAAAAAAGCTTCAGCTAATAGAAAAACAGAAAGAACCAATCAGATGAAGGTGGAGACAGATTTGTAGAGACATATACTGACAAACTGTGCTCTTGCCAGGAAAATACTTTTCCACAAAGCTGATGAACATTTGCTAACTGTGTTCATAAATACTGCACAGCTGTGCTACAACAGGAGAGCATGCCCAACACTTCCATAACTTGATAAGAGGTTTCTCTAGTGATTCACTAAAAATAATTAAACAAAATTAAAACATAGCCAAAATTAGCACTGCTAGCTGTCATGAGCAAGAACTAAAGCAAATATTGACTAAAGCAAATAAAAGTCACAGTATAATATGATCCCCCCCAAAAGAATTCTGTAGATTATTCTACCTTGTATTCTAATGGATTCTATCAAAAGCAATATTTCTCTACAATAACCATCCCTGAAAATAACTTTTTGTATATGATACAAGTCCAGGATGATCAGAGGGAAAAATCTCTGCAGATGAGATGTTTCTGGTATTTGCAGTAACAATGATGTTTTTCAACCATTATTTCCTCAACCCACAGGTGTTTCTCTGCCTTGTCTGACATTGGTCAAAAGATACAAAACAAGCCAGTGACCTTTTTCTGTACCTCCACTGAAAGCTGCTTTTTGCCAGCTAGCAAGATCATTTCTACAACATGCAGAGCAGCCTTTCTATCCATTCTTAGCATCAAGCACTCCAGCAGACACCCTCTATATGGGCAAGATCCACTCTATATGGGGAAAAGAAGCTAATATTACTCTGAAGCCTCCCAGTAAAATATTAGGCATTTGGAAACAGCTAATGAAAATATTTCAGAGACCTGGAGTAAACACCAGTTTCTTTACTGATTTTAGCGTGCCCAAGATTTTATTCTCTATTTATTTTGTATTGTCTCAGCTTAAACAATGAACATGGCAGGTTCACTTTTAAGAATATCTTGCCCTCTATGTCCTAAAAGTTTAGGCCGATTTGTAGGAAGGGAACAGTTAGCATCTGAAACTTTCCATGATCTACAAAAGTGGATTACTGAGCTTCTGTGAACAGGGTGCTGTCACTTCTATCTTACTGCCGCATCAAGTTAGGTGCTAAGGGACTGTGTTGGCCACCACTAAAATTTCTGGACATCTCACTCAGTTCCTCATCAGAAATGGAGAATTTTGAGACAGGGTTTCCCTTCCTCTCAAGATTCTTAGGAGAGAAATATCTCACAGGAACAAATGCCATAACCTTCCAAGACTAAGTTTACATCAGAATTAACAGTTTCATGGCTGCAGTTCTTGTCTGTTCTTTATTAATACAATTCACGCTATTCCAACTACAATTATATGTTGAATAGCAACAACAAAATTATAATCTTTGGCTATCCAAGAAGAAGAGGACCAGTTACAGCAAAGTATTGAACGTACTTTTTTCTAGGCTGTTCATACATTGATGATATCTGAGACTGTGGAAACAAAAATGTCTTCAGAAAGATTAAGGAGCTATAGTAACCACTGCACAAATAGTAGTTACTGGGCGGCTCCAGTGCAAAATAACCTCCCAGCTCTGTCCTAACATAACATGAGTGCACAGGCCAAGGTTACTTCATCAGTTCAAATGACAAAAACGGGAAGGAAAAATCCACTTCTGTAAAACATGCATTTGCAACTAAAATTCTTCTATATAAATTAGGTATCAGATATTTTGCAATATTAAAAAACAAAGGTACTCCATATAAGCTGAAATCAAAGATTTACTAGGCGTTCCTAGCAATTTTTCTTAGTTGTGTTGTGCTCTTCGAGATGTATGCTTGTATGTTGCTAGTTATTTATCTGCTAAATGGAACATAATAAATGGAACATAATTATTTTAAGAATCTCAGATAGTAGCGTTATATAAAATTTTAATGATAGTCCACTCATTCAAGATAGAATTTGATGTTTTCTTACATACAGTATTGAAAACTTAGCTAATTACTTCTGATTTCAAAATAATCCAGAAAGTGCACTATGAATTTCAGAAGTACTAAGAATTTTAAAAGTTCAGTAAAACATTTATGAAAGGCAATTTTAAACAGTTTATAAACAATGTAACTGCACAGTCTCTTGACGTATGACCCACATTTGAAAGTAACTAAGAGGCATGTGCTGCTGTAAAAATTAAAAAATAAAACCAGTAACTCACACAAGCAAAAAAATCTCATGTTAACAACATTGCCTGAAAACCTTATGCCAGGCCAAGTCTACCCAGAATTCCAGCCACTAGGGAGGATTCTTACATGGATCAAAAAATCATAAAAATAATTGTACAGTAATGTACAGCCAAAAATTAGTCTGAAACTAGGATAAGCCTTCAAATGCACACTGTAATTTACAGTGATGCAGAACAATTACTTGAGGAGTTTATATCAACAGATTTATCTTAGCAGTGAATAGAGAAAAACCTCTCTGCAGGTTCTTAAAAGCAAGTTTCATGTCTAGATATTAATTTTAATTTATCTCTCATTTCAACAGCATCAGGCAGCAATATCAGTAATCACAGTTTTTGTGAAAGTAATGGTTTGATTCAGTTCACCGCTGTATTTCTACTTTCTTTGCTTTTCCAAAGTGCCAAACAATCTTTTCCTTGTGATTGCCAAGGAAGTTGAAACTTGCCAGCATACCATAGCACGAGGTTGGTTGTTCATGAATCTGTTTTTCTTCCCTCATAATCCAAACACTTGTTTTGTATACCTACTATAGGCTTTTAAGGTATGACATTATAATTTACATTTAAACATAGTACTTACGGTTGGCATAATTTTACCAGGTCCTGGTCAGTGGTGTTTGGAGGCAGTGCTCTGATGTAAAGGTTAGTTTTACTTAATTGATCCCATCCTGAGTTGCTGCTGCTACTACTGTTGTTATTACTGCTGGTGGTGCTGGGACTAGGAGGAGCCATTGGGTGGGCTGGTACAATGGACTGCTGCAAAGGAAAAAGCGTGTTAGAGTAAACTATAGATAGCAATCACAGCATGCACATCACATCAGCTCAGTCTACAGTAGCCTGTTTACCATTTGGAGCTCTGTGTTAAATCTGTTTGTAATTACTCATGGATTTTAAAGACAACTGCTTTCACACCACATTTGGGACAGGATTCACAGGCACATTCTAATATACCCAACCACTATTTAATGCATGCTTACTGCATGACACAGGGTCAAATTATACATAACCTCCACTGAATATTACTCATAGGATTTTATCACTCTTTATTGTGTTATCTGATGTGAAAATGAAAGAGGAGATATTGTTCCTCTCGGTTCCAGCAGGTATAAAGTTTATATCACTATGATTGTTTCGCATGTCAAATTGTGGCAGACACAAAGACCACGCTCTTTCCTTAATCTATCCAAAAATACAAAAATAATTAGAAGCCTCTTTTCTATCTCTTCTGGTTTTTAGTACTTCACACAATACTGTTTTGTTTTGTTTTTTTTTTTAAGATATAGTCCTTAAGTACAGATAGCTTAAGCACAGATAGCTTAAGGACCAGACTTTAAATTGAGTGCCTCAGCAGAACTTTCATACTGCCACCAATTCTCCACATTTGTGGATTACTTCAAGACTGTCAAGAAAAATATTCTATATAATGTTAAAAAAATTCAAGTTTCAAAAGGAGAAAAGCACATAAGTACTTCTACCTAGTCCTCAAGGTATCTAATACTATTGCTCTTAAAATCTTATGACCCTAACGGAACATAAAAACATCCTAGAGAAAATCTGCAGTAGAGCAATCATTTGCATTAACAACAGTATAGCAAGATACTGTATAGAAAGTACTATGAACAGGTCTGTGGTGTTGTAAGAGAGGAATACTTTAACAAAACACTAAGAGAACTACCGTTGCCAGTAAACGTCTTGTGACTAGATGGTTTTCACTGCTGAACTGGCTGCATGTGGCCCCTTTCCTGCAAAAGCTTGAGCTTCCATGGCTCAAGAAACTCATAGACAGAACTGCCCTGTGAACTGCAGAGGAAAGGCATGGTAGAGGGGGAAAATTTAAAGTGTAATATATAGCGAGATGTCAGCATAGGCTCACTTGTTCCTGCCCTGGTGCCACCCTCTTCTTTGGATTAGTACAAACAATTGTACAGCCACAGACCGAACCAAAAAATTATCTTCCCTGATCTGGTACACCACATGTGGCTTTGTGCTATACAAAAGCTTTGGCTGTCACAAGGCAGGGAACAGGAATGTAAAGAGAGAGAGGAAAGCATTAGAGTTCACCTCTGCTTAAAGCACCCATGAAACTACACCCTTAAAAAGAAAAGTGAAACTATTTTGGACATAACTTCAGGAAACTGGAATGAAATTGTGAGGGGGGAAAAAAGTACAAAGGCATGCCTTATATCAGATATTTTATGATAATTATGTGTTTCTTTTTTTGTTTCCCTAGGAAGGTTTCAAAAATCTTCCAATTTGGCATATTGCAAAGTTTATTATGCAGCTATAATGGCCTGGAACAGCCAACTGCAAAACTTGCTATAAAATCAACATTAATAAGTAGTAACACTGTTGTTCCCTAATTTAATTGAACTGAAAATTACCAAAAAGAATTAAATACACTCCGTAATCATGCAATATTTCAAAACTGAATATCAATATTTCATTGCCATAAGGTTAGAGATTTTTGTATTTTATTTGGTTTTAATAAAGATTTTTAGAAACATCAAATCTCTTCCAAAATATTTATATTTGGAATTGAAGCACTGATCTAGAATTTCTTCCAGGGGAAAAGATTAAATGCTCTCTTCCAAGATTGCAATGGAAACATTGACATATTTTAACTATAGCAGCACAAGTCAGACTGTCAGACCACTCTGCTTCCACTAACACAAGGCAACTACTTTTGGGGTTACAAGCAGTGCAAAACGACAGAGCAATTAGTTTCAAAACATTTTCACAACAAACAGAACAAACTCAGTCTGGTACAATGATATTCTTTTCAAAAGCCTTCAGTGGAGTTCTCAAAATGCAAACAGTGATCAAACGCACAACTACTCTGTTCACGATTTCGAAATGTACACTTGCCTCGAGCACACATGTACAGCTGGCATATAACTCCACACACATGTACCCATCTTCATCTAAACTGGTAATTACAACTGAAGGCTAAGAGCCTCAGTTAAGTTTTTCAGTAGCTTTGGTTTGGTTTTGTTTTTACTTCTTACAATGTTTTTCTCTTAAAATCTTTGTTTTTCTATGTTATGAAGAACTGGAGTTTTGTAAAATCTTGTCACCAGTTGGCCAAGGGCAGGAGAGGAAAATGTGTGTCTGTGTGTAGAGAGAGTAGGAATCCTAACTCTGTCTGTCTGTAACACATAAACACTCCGTTCTGAGAAATTTAAGCTTTTATTTAAACATGAAGACGTTCTAGTGCTAGTGGTCACATCCAAACATGATGAGAATGTAAATGGGACCACAGTTGTCTTCCTAAGTTTACAGACAGAAGATTTTTCACTGCTTCCACAGAGACTCATACCTTTACAAGCCTTAAAGGCTTTACAAAACACAGATGCTGGGCATACTGCAGCTCTCAAAGCCTGCAACCCAATGACAGACAGACAGCCATTAAAGGGCCAGTGACAGCTTAAAGCCATACAACTTAAACATGTTTTTTACATTAAAACTTAATTTTAAAACCTGAATCATTCTTTCCGCTCTGTTCTTCATCGATGACTACTTGTAAAAACTAAATTATAGAGGTCCCTCTGTTGTTCAAAGGGGCTTATTTTTCCAGTTGCTATTGCTGCAAAGGGCTGGTTGGCAGCACAGTCACAGTGGAGCCTCCTACGCTGACAGCGCACGCCAAGAGAAGAGTTTTTCTGCTGGCGTAGTTGCATCACCTCTCCAAACAACACCAGCTAAGCTGATAAAAGCTCTCTTCTGCCGGCACAGCTGCATCCACACCTGGGCTTTTGCCAGCATATTGATGTCAGTGAGGATGTACGACTTTTTTCCACATCCCTGGCTGATACAGTGCTCGCTGGCAAGACGTTCTGCAGTGGAGACCTGGCCAAAGTTTGGGGCTATTTGTTAAGAAACAGCTTTCACAAACATTAACTGAAAACTTTGCCTAAAAGCTGAAATCAAATTTGAAAAGTTTTGTTTTATAAACTGTAGTGTCTGCTGCAAATCCACATCAAAAGCTGTTCTTAAGTTTTTGTCATATGGATCTCACAACAATTTGCAATATTGTAACATAAACAAAAACACATTCATTAATTTTTCTTTTAAATCATTGCATCTTAAATTAAAACACTGAACACAAGGATAGGAGAAATAAATATAAGCAAGAGACCATTATTTCTTGTGACAATATTCCTGTTCACAAGAAATACCATTGTCACACTGGTTTGCCATTTCCTCCTTCGTTTTCACTCCCAAAGGTAATTAGAGATCCTTCTTTCTACACAGCAGTTTCCTTTCTGTCACCTTCAACAAACATCTAAGCAAAAAAGGCCAGTGACAGAATAATTATACCATCTGCTCTCTGCTGTATGATCACTCTATCCCATTCTGGAGCCAGCTGTGAGGAGCTTCCAACACCCTTGCCTGATCTCTGAAGGACCTTCCCTCCAGTCCTCCCCACAGCACCACTGCAGCAGTGGGAAAACCACAGGTACTTGTTAGAAAAACAAAAAGCTCACTGTTTGAACAGTCCCCACAAAGTGCCTTAAAATAAGAAGAATTGTCTGTCCGAGGTTTCTTTTCAATATAAAACTCAAATGGGACTAATTGCCAGTACTGAAAAGCGACTGGAGAATATACTCATATGAACCATTCCCGTCTTTCTTATAAACCACTCTATGCTTAAGGACTGGAAATGAGTCAGAGCAGAATTTTGTCTGCCAAAGAGGAGAAGAGTCTCTTTGCTGTCAACAGGAAAAAAAAGACACCAAACCAAAACGGAATAACCCCAAGAAATTCCTTTGACCTGGGGGTTGAGAGATACTGACCGTTGCTGCCTTCAGACTACAGAAGTCCAAGGAAATTTCAACAAGCAGAAGATAACTTGGATAACAACTGTCCCAAAACAGAGCATGATCATTATAGTAGCAATCCATTTAAGTCTCTAATTTCATGTTAGAGACTGTGTATGAAGAGCAGGCATATAGAGCATGCTGGCATTTAATTATGAGTGTCTTCACTCAGCTAAAATTCCTGATGGGAAAAGTACCGTGACTTTTAACAACAGAGTTAGTTCTTGCAAATCTGCTCTAAATTCAAACCATAAATTGCGGCATACATTACCTACCAGATTTAGCCATCATCTCGTAATATTAAAATCTTGTCGCTAGGGTTTTCCTAGCTTTTTTCAGGTGACTAAGCTACAACTACCTGCTTATCCTGCCTGGCTTAGCCTAACCTCCCTGATTTCCCTAAATAGTATTTTGAAACAGAACCTTCAGTAACTGGCAGTGACATAAAAATTACCATACATTTTTTCATGAATGTGTTCAACAGTGATAAAAAAGTATTAAATTACACAAATCTGGACTTTTTTTAAATTAAATTGGGGGTTGTTTTATTTATTTATTAATTACCTAACACAGAGCTTTACCTGTACAATGAAAGCAAGGGCTCAGGAGAACAAAAGATGCCATACCTCGTGAAGCAAGACACTGACACATTTCGTGCACAGCTTAGGAAAACGAAAATTGTTTGGAACTACATCACGTCCCTAGCAGAAAGAAAACTTCAAGTGTTTAACAGAAATGACTGTTCACTGATGAATACAGTTGCTTTATCACCTTTTTTTAGATAAGGAGACACTAAACCTTGATCACCGAGTCTAAGCCAGCAAACCGACGGTTGCAGCAGAGATGCCATTCTGAGTGTCTTGCACTATTTTATTTCATGGTTTTCCTCATCATGCCTGAAATGTAATGGCAAGGAAAACTGAATTTCTGGAGGCCTCT